CATATCTATCAAAGCTCGTCATTAGGGGAGATTCGACGACGTTATTCGGGATTTGTAGAAAGTACGTCGTGTGTAGGAATAATAAGACCGTCAAGTGGTCTTACAGTGTGACAGAAAGAAGAATGCACTGTCGATGTTAAGTATTAAGAAGCTTCCAGGACCACGGAGAGTACTGTCAGGTACTCTTAATCAGGTTGATTGTCTTCAATTAACAAGAAACAAGAAGAAGATCCCATATGTCCTTTACTGTAGTAACTAAAATTGGTTCTGAAGGATTGACGTAATAGACTCCTTTTACAGAGACCCTTAAGGAGACAATCTAACCGTTTCTGATAACTACTAATGGTTTTTCTGAGTCTCCGGAGACATTCAAACAATCCCTCAAAACTCACCTTTTCACTCTTGCCTTCAACTCCTAATCAACTATCCCCTTGCCCTTATTCCTCCTAGCTTAGCACTTTCTACTTTTGTCGTTATTTTGTTTTACTTGCTTGTAAGCGCTTTGAGCACCAGGAAAAGCGCTTTATAAATGTAATGTATTATTATTATTATTATTATTATATATAGTAAGGTCGCAAACACACGCGTAAAGAAACATGAATATGGGAAAGGAACTTTAACATTGAAACTAAAACATTGAATTAGACCATTGAGATTAAAGTTTAGAGCTGGAACAATGCCAATTGTAAACATATTAAAGTTTTAACAATACCTATTTTTCTTCCTGAAACTCTGCAGTAAATCCTCTCTAATGTTCACATTATATGTAGGGTGGGTTTTGTGCGGGTAGTGTGTCCATTCTTTTGGCTTTGATTGATTTAGTTTGGCTTCTGGAAAGGATACAGCATATGTGACATATTTAGTTCTGTCTAACTGTGATACTTTTTCCAATAAACATCATGTGACCTTGTTCATATTCAGAATAAGTATTGAGCCCCAGCTGATGCAACAGGCTTCAGTGTCGGGCAGTTGGCATGGCTTAGCTTGGCATCCTCTTCCTGTCCTCTGCATTCTTCTGTTCCGTGCACAATCACAGAAACACAGCAGATTGTAGATGGAGGACTCTCCTCTGTCTATCTTGGTCTAGACAATTTTCAGCTGGCAGGCACTCAACATCCAATGCCCACAGTTCTTGTCTCTTGCTTCCAGATGCAGCATATACTTGGCAACCTCCCCCACACTGCTGTCAGCTCTCCAAGGGGAAGGAAAGCCATACCCAACCCCCCCTTTTCCGAACCTTCTTACAGACTATAAATATGCCCTTTCAGTACCCACACCAAGCAAATCATTGGTGCAGAAGAAAAACAGGTGTAAAAAAAACAATTCCCTGCCAACGGAAAGATTCACAGTTGCGTATACTTGCCCTGAATACCTTACTGCACAATTAAATCACATTCTGTCAAAGAAGTAAGGTCCTCATGTATGCTTAGACGTTTTTAAAAGAGACCAATATAGTCATTTGTCAAAACGAACAGCATGACTACATTTTGTGTTTGATGTATTATGTCTAAATATGAGGTATGATGAAGTTTAAGATGCAATCCTATAAAAAAAAAAGCAATCTAGTCCTAAGGAATGTGTGGGTCATACGGATGTGGTTTTTTTTTATATCCTGGAATTTTCGGTATTGGTGCCTTTTATATTTTCATGTGTCCTTGTAAACACAAGGTTTACACTGAGCTAGTGACTCCTGATTGGCTGGACTTTTACAATATATGGTGGTAGTGGTTAGGGATGGGAATTTGAAAGCAAATGTATATTCGAATATTTGACCCCCAAAAAAACGGTTAACCGATTAACCGAAATGTACATATCCTATAAAAAAAATGTGGGAAAAATGTTGACAAAAAAAAGAAAAACATTTTAATTTTGAAAAATAAATAAATACATGTTCAAATAAGTATAGAAACCAAGTGGAATTTGTCAAATGTATTGAACTGGTGATCACAATTTGAACAGTTGACAGCTATAGGTCTACAGCTTTCATGCTTAAAACGTAACTTGGTTTTTAAATGCAAGAGGGATCATACACGAACAACATAACGGGTTAGGGTAACGTAACCCTATTACAACAGAGATCAACAACCTATAACAGGGCCATGCACAGAATGCAGCTATTCAATANAATGTCACTTATTTTGTTTGATTTTGACTTTTTTTCTCCAGAATTTGGCTTATCTTTTAAAATCATTTTGTGACATGCCACTGAAGAGACTTGCAATTATTTCCCCTAGACTTCTGCTTTCAGACGTAGTTAATTATGGAGTTATTACCCTATCCGATAATAATCCAGTGCAGAGGCAATAATATAATATACTACATTATTTTATATAGTCTTAAAGTCACAACCGGCCCTTTGTGTGCAACCTTAATGCTGATGTGGCCCGTGACGAAATTGAGTTTGACATCCCTGATTTACGTGTTTATAGACTTTTTACACTATTTTTTGTATTTTTTTATGTCTCGTATAACTATGTTGCATTGTTGGAGGAGCTCTGGTCATAAGATTTTCATTGCCATTTCTACACTGTAGCCTATGTGCATATGACATTAAAACCTTTGGATAGGGCCTCAGGTTGATGTGTGCACCATATTTGTGGCAACACTCCACTTAAAACATCATAGGTATGGCCCTTGAGGATCCTGCAGCTCTCAGGCAGCCGCTGCTTTTGTATCCGTCTTTATCAGGGCTGGACGATCTATAATGGAAAGCCTTAAGCACACGTCCTTATCTCCAGCAAACCTCATTCCACTTAGTCCAGGGCTGATTCTTTCTACGGAGAAGAATGTGAGCTAAGGAGCTGACGTCAGCTACGCCTTGACTTTCAGAAGTTCTCAATGAGTTCTCCTCTGTAGTAGGGATGGGAATTTGAAAGCAAATGTATATTCAAAAATTCGACCCCCAAAAAAACGGTTAACTGAAATGTACATATCTTCTAAAAAAAAAATTTGGGGGAAAAATGTTTACAATTTTTTTATTAAATTTTTTCAAAATAAATAAATACATGTTCAAATAAGTATAGAAACCAAGTCGAATTTGTCAAATGTATTGACCTAGTGATCACAGTTTGAACAGAGGACGGCTATAGGCCTGCTTTCAACTTATTGTTGTTTAGGCTGCCCACTCATTGACGGGGGGCGGGAGCCCACTCGTGAACTGTTAGCGCCGGAACCTCGCATCGGGGTAACTGCGGAGCCCATTTGCGCCGCATTTGGGCATAAGATGAGGTTTGAGTCTGCTTTATCTGCGTGTAGGGAGGGGCAGCAGCCATATCATTAGCTAGAACTAGCTAGATCTGATGGATTTGGACATAAACGCGAGTGAAGTATGTGAGAGAGAGAGAGAGAGAGAGAGAGAGAGAGAGAGAGAGAGAGAGAGAGAGAGAGAGAGAGAACTGTCGTATACATTGAATTATTCCATTTGATCATATGTAATCAACTTAGGCACCCCTCCCAAAAAAAAAAAGAAGAAATTACAATAAAAATATTCATAACTCTTTTTTTGGGAGGGGTGCCTAAGTTGATTACATATGATCAAATGGAATAATTCAATGTATACGACNCACACACACACACACACACACACACACACACACACACACACACACACACACACACACACACACACAACGAGGCCACGCTTTAGTAACTCGTGCGCACGCTTTATTAACTTGTGCGCACGAGAAGGTATCTTGTGCGAACGAGAGAGTAAAACGTGGCCACGTTTTATTTATTTTTCTCTCAATGAACCCTCCAGGGCTCCGTACATTACTAATCAGTCTAGGAGTAGTCAAACAAATGAATATCCAATATGTTTAATGGTTTCAGCCGGTGTCTCTGTGTTTTCCATTCCCTCTGTGATGAGATGCATTCCAATGTCTTCACAGTAGCACAGTGCAAATGAGCTTGGCAACAAATTCCCTGTTACATGAGCTGCAGTCTGCGTTCTTGACAGCTTGTTATCTCTCTGTGTATCTCCATCTAGCTTCGACCTAACACGCTCTTTAAACTTCTTAATGTCCTACTTTTTATATTTTTAGAGTGATATCTTTACATTCCTCTCTCTATTTACAAAATATCAGAAGATGTACAATGTCTGCCTGTTCCTGCTAATCTCTTTAGTTGCCCTGCCTAAATCATTATTATGCATTGACACTTCATCTTGCTTTCTGTTTAAAATATATTAAGAATGTACAGTATAAAGCATAACGAAAAAAGTAAACATAGGTACAATTACAACTATTATTAGGTTAATCAGAAGAGAGGTACAGTCAACCATGAAAAACCTGCCCTGTGATTATCACATACATGTACTCACTGTTCCTTTAGCTAATTGAGTTGTGAGTATTGTTCTTCACGTGTATGTTCACACTCATATCCAGCACACACAATACACATACTGAATGACTCAAATGGGCGTGTGTGTGTGTGTGTGTGTGTGTGTGTGTGTGTGTGTGTGTGTGTGTGTGTGCGTGTGCGTGAGAGAGAAAGATAAATGTATCCCTCTGAGTAGAGAGAATAGAGTTTGATTTGTTTTGTATTCCTTTTATTGTTCTGTATTACTGCTCCCTGGTGAGAAAGAGCGACCATTCCACTGTACACGTGTGTGGTGGCACACTATTTCTAGTAGTCTTTATTTTTATTTTGTTTTTACAAGAACAATTAAATCAGAAAGGACCATGCCTAATTGAAATAAAATACATTAAAATATGTTCTTACTATGTCGTTTTTGCTATCCAGACATACACAATTGCATTTGATGTTTTCTTCATATTTTATGTTCTTACATTTTTGCAAACAGGATAAGAAACAGGGGCCGTATTCACAAAGCATTTTATCTTACCGCTAGGAGTGCTCCTAACTCGCGCTAAAACATTTTACGTAGGAGTTTTTTCTTAAAAGTTATTCACAAAGCCGCTGAGACCTACTCATACTAAGGATAAATCACTAAGAGTGAACTAAGAGTGAACTAAGAGTGACGCGCCGTTGCTATGGATTACGTTGATTCTCGTGCATGAGTTTAGAAGCGGTCAGTACGGTGATTGGTTGTTCAGAGTAGGCGGTCTCGGTGAAACTCATCCGCAACATCCCACAAACGAGCCCACTAAATCACCGAAAAACAAGGAAATAGCCTAGGCTAGAAATGTATTCCTATCAAATAGTTATGGACAGTGCAGTTAGCAGAATACACACATGATGACAAGTTTGTGCAGACCACGATAATGACGTTGTATATGCACGTTAAAGAGAGAGAGCAAACAATAAAAATACGTAAATTGCATTAAATCGAGGAGGCAATTAAAAGCACCCTGCAAACTATTATCCAATGAGCATATTTCCAGCACTTAAACACTTTCAATAACAGCCCATACCGCCGTTCAAGTCCCCCTATCATGATGAATGAAAACAATCTGCGTGTTGATGGAATGTACTTTCTTTCTATTGACGAACACGTCCTCATCTTTTGATGGCGCAATTATTTTTATGTGCGTCCCGTCAATAGCACCGACCGCACCGGGCATACCTGCAATTGCCATGAAGTTGGCTTTGATCCTGTGTAGTTGTTGATTGTGCAAAGGAAACCGGATAAACTGTTGGATGATATGTGGTCTAGAGAGCGCGTTGATGGTTTGGTTTATGGCACAGCTGACTGATGGTTGCGATATTCCTAAATCGTCGGCATTGCAAAGTTGCATTTTCCCTGTTGCTAAATATCGTAGTGTTGCCAAACATTTTATTTCCGGACTAATCGGGTTATTCCTGTTAGTCGGGGATGTTATTGCATCCCGCACTAATTCCACAACAAGTTTGATACCCTCACGATTTAGCCTATATCTCTTGATCAATTCACAGTCTTCCATTGTCTCCAAAACATTTCGTCTCTCAGCCATTTTCAGATTCTTTGTGAATAGGTCTTACTGAGTTAGGAGTCCTCTCGAGGACTTTTAAGCTCTCCCAGACTTAGGTGCTACTTTTAGGCTTAAAATACTTTGTGAATTGCTCTTAGTGAATAAAATTAGGAGTCCTAAATTTAAGACTGACACGCCCATTATGCTTAGGAGTTTCTCCTAAATTCGCCAGTTAGGAGCTACTTTTAGCCCTAAAATCCTTTGTGAATACGGCCCCAGATATCTAGATTCTAGAGAGCATGTACTGAAGGACATGTGTACTGTAAGTTGAATGAAAAGAAAGTAATAAAAAAAACATAGAGTCTGATAAGAACTAAACAGGTGTAGTGAAAGGTAAAATGACGGCAACAAGAGAAATGTGAGTGAATATAAATAGGAGGAAAAATATGCCAGGTGTAGAGGAAAAAGTAATTATGGGATGTTAGGGTTAAAGCGTCTGTCAAACACAATGATGAAAGGACTGAGCACAAGATGAGAGGAGCAAAGACAAGTGAAGGGGAGAAGACCGGCGGATATGGAGGGAGGGGAGAGAAAGGGTGAGAGCACTGTCAGGAATAATTGTGGAACAGGATCTAAAGGTGCTTAGACAATCTGCACCGTGTGTGTATTGATGTAGACCACCGCTGATGGAGCAAACATAGGCAGGAAGAAAAAGAAAGTCATAGAGGACACCAGGGAGAAACTAAACATTCCATGTTTGTCAAACTCTATCCTTCTCTTTTTCAATCAGTCTTACTTGATTGATTGATTAAAAACAACCAACAATGACTTTCCCTTCGGGGAAATAAGTACCTCTCTTATTCATCTGTGTCTCCTTATGTATTAACATTTGTGTTGGGTGCTATAATAATAAATGTAGTTACTCCTTGGGGCCAGTTTCATCTTCTAAACCTCTCAACATCTCCCAATAGCTCAATTAAAATTCAAAAATAGGATGTCAAATGTGTTATTAAAATAAGCTGCAGTCATCCTCAATTTTAAAAGGTTGATATCCATAACAAATTAGTTCTTGATTCAGTGTTGAAGGAACTTGTTTTACTGTCATTAATAATAGCAGTTAAACACTCATGTGTCAGAGCACTGGAGAGCAGACCTACTGTATATCTCTCTCTTTCCATTTTACACACACAAACACATACACACTAGGAGCTGTCAATCAAACACAAGTATTCCCTGTGTGCAATAAGGTTCCAGTATGAAATCCGTCCGGCAAAATCATTTGCACTCTCTTTCAGACTGTGACCTCCAATAAACTCAAACACCCACAATTCCCTATGGCCTCATGTCATGCCTTATTAGCTGCCTAATCCACAGAAAGAAAGAGAGCAAGGGAGAGACAGGGAGCAGAAAGGACATACAATTGCTTAAAAGAGATAGAAAGAAAGAGAGAGAAATGATGCAGGGCAGATAGAAAGAAATTAAAAGGGGATCATCAAACCGTGACACACTCAGAGCACCGTGTGAGCACATCAAGCCAATCAAGTGCAGGCAGGCCAAAGGGGCCACATCATAACTGGCTGGTAGAAACAGGGTTATTGTTCGCCAATTAATGTCGGGGCATGATTGTTTGGCAAGCTTTCTCTCTCTATCTTGTTATTTCTCCCTCTCTCACCCCCACACACTTCCCCTAGTTCTCGCTCGGACTCCCTCTGGTTGAAAAGAAGAAAAAATGAGACAGCAGTGATGAAAGTGAAAAATTGTGCCAACATCACGGTGCTATGGTCCAAGGCTAAAGAGAAAAAGGAAGTGGGCCAACATTGACCATGAAAGGTTTTGAAGGGATCAGTTTTTTTTCCTTCTGAGCAGTCTCTGGAGGTCATCACGAGTCATTACCTGCAAAGGTGCTTCTGGGATGAGGGATAGGAGACCAGGTGCATGTTGCGAACACTTATTGTTACAGTGGAAGAAGGGGGTGGGGGTGTGGTGTCTATAGTCAAAGATTAATCTCGATTGGAGCCAAATTTGACCCAGAGTCACCCACAACAATTCTGCTGGACATGGTCAAATATAAACTAGGTTGGAAAAACAATAGATGCCACCAGTACTAGGGATGGGAACGATTAATCGAATATTCAAAATTATTCAGTTGTTCGAATATGGGAATTTTTTTTTTTTTTGGGAGGGGTGCCTACAGTAAGTTGATTTTATATGATCAAATGGAATAATTCAATGTGTACGACAGTGCCATAGCTAAGTGTGTTAGGTCTAAAGGTGTGTTTTGCTCCACTCACCGGTGCCTCACAGCGGGCCGAGCTGCAGGTGCCGATCTCTCTCTCGCGTCCGGTTATACTTCACTCGCGTTTATGTCCAAATCCATCAGATCTAGCTAGTTCGAGCTAATG